TCAGGGATTGGGGCTGTCAGGCAGCGGGCCGGGAGCCGCGCACAGCCGCAGCCCCGCAGCCAGGGGAGCCCAGCGGGCAGGGGAAGGAGCCGGGTCCCGGCCAAGCCCCGGCACGTGATGGGCCGGGGAGCGCCGATGGCTGCAGCGGGACAGGCGGAGGTGCGGACAGAGAGAACGCACAGCCAGCTTGGGGACTTCCACCAGTTCTGCAAAAAGGCTGGTTTTTCCTCTCCCTCTCCCCGTAACTTTTTTCAGGAAGAAATGGACTAACTTTCTGAGATTTTTTTTTTAAATATATACTTTTTTTTTTTTCCTTTTAATTCCCTTGTAAGTATTTACCTCTGCAAAGAGTAAAATTGGAAATCAGAGTTTGACAGAGATAGGGTTCAGCTCAAAAGTTAAATCCACTTGGGAGTTGATTTTTTTTTTTCCTAGTAGGGAAATGATGGGAGGAAGTGTGAGCCGAGCAGTGCAAAGGCTGAAGACAGATTCAAGGGTCCCTTCCAAAACCTGGTACAAAAAAAACCCCAGCCTCTCCCCACTTTTTTTTTTTTTTTTTTTTTTTTTTTTTTTTTTTTTTTTTTTTTTTTTTTTTGGAGTCAAATCTAACTGCTGGTCTACCAGCTGAGTGCAGCCATAGCACTTCCCATCCCTGTGGCTGCTTCTTTGTCTCTGCATTGTAAACAAGGACCCTTATTCCTCTAACAGAGGCCAAGTGTCTGGAGAGTGTCCAGGCCACGGCCACTTTAGGAAGCAAAGTTTTTCATTAACTTGTCATAAAAGCAGGTTTTGATCTTCTCTGTTGTTTTCACAAACACCTCTTTTTAAAACATAGTATAAAAATCTCTTTTTGTAAGCATCTGTGCTTTCTCTGATGTATTTTTGATTTCAGCTCAAATATTGTGCTTTACTGAGCGCACTGCCTCATGAAGAGTGCGATCTTGATGGGTCACCCTCGGACCCTGCACTCAGGTGCTGCAGGCTGGCAAAGTCCTTTCCTCATGGTCAGCAGCTACCTGAGCCACAGCAGGTCCCTGCAGAACAGCACAGCTGATCACAAACCTCAGCCATAAATGTTACTTAGCTTTGGCTTTCCCTGTGCCAGCCCAAGGTACCTCTGTTCTTTTCCTCTGTAGCAGCAGCCCCGGGTTACTTATCATCCCTGCTCTGTAAGGAGGCAGTGGATGGTCACAGGCAGAGACCAGCCCCTGTCTGCCTTTGCTCTGCAGGGCTGGCTGTGGAGGGAGGGGAACTGCTCCCTGAAACCACCAGGGACTCGCAGCAGTTATTTCCACCGTGATCCCTCACCCAGATTTTGGGACCTGCCACTCTGCCTCCCTTTTTGCTTGCTCCCATGGGGTGAGAGTGGAAACAGAGGCTTTCATTGATTGCAGTGCCTTTGTGGCTGCCATGGCTTGGAGAGTCACACAGGGAGCTTGGAGGTGGAGGAGTTTCTCCACAGGTGCTTCTACTTGGTGGTTGTCTCACGTGGACCTTGTTCCCTGGGCACTGTTCCATGGCTGGTTTTTTCTTCCCCCTGCCAGCAGAGGTGCCCTTGGTCCATCCTGTGTCGTGTCACTGTCTAAGTTGTGGTGGGGCAGCTCCTGCTCCCCTTGCTGTGTTCCTGCAGGCATCAAGCCATGCAGTCGGGAATACAGCTTTGTGGTAGATAAAGAAGGGCTGATCTTGTGATTTTCAAACAGTGTTTGAGATTTAAGAGATTCAGAGACACATCTCTGCTCAAGTTCATGGCAAAAGGAATTCCCTGGATTCAGCTGCCAGGTCAGCCAGTGGCTTCCTGTGCAAAGCTGCTGGAGATTTCATATCCCAGTTCCTTGGCTCCCCACCTATGGGCAGCCTTGTGAAAGAGCTCACTGGTAGTGAGGCACTTGGGATTACAGTGCTGCTGTGGCCTCAGAGGAGTCCCAGATATCCAACAGCACCGAAAGAAACACAGTGAGCTCCTCCAGGTGCCAGGGGTGGGACAAACCTCTCCTTCTGGCCATGCTGGCTGAAAAAAGCTCATCAAAGCAGTAACTGGAAACTGAACAAACACAGAGGCTTGACTTGGTTTTGTAATCAGAGCCATTCCCTTGCAGCCTTGGTAGGTCAGGCGAAACTGACTTTGGGCAGAACCCTGCTGTGCAACCACCCTCAGGCTGGATGCTCCTCTGGAGCTGTGATCATCAAATGTGGCCAGAACTTCAGTGCCCCCTGTTCTTACTACTGCACTTGAGTGTTCAATGGAAGTCTCTGAGGCAGTTCTCATCAAAAGTATATATTTATTTATAAAAAAATAATGAGAGAAAATATATATACCAAAGAGCTTTTTCTATAAAAGACAATTCCTTGGAGGCTGAATGTCCTAGACCCAAGTATGCCTGGCATTGCAGTCCATAGCTGTAAATGGCTGATCCAGATCTGATGCTGAATATCATGGGAATTTGGAATTAGAAGGTTAACAAGGGATTTTTCCACTGAAAACTAAGTGACATTAACCACACATCTCATACAGGCTTCTATAAGAGATGTACAGCCAGCTCCCTTCAGTGGGTATAAAATTCAATCCAGAGAAGAAAAAAATACTTTTTTTTTACTCTAGGTTATAAATTGCTCCACTGTTTGAGTTCATCTCCATACAAAAGACATATGGCCAGACTCCTGTCCAATGTAAAGCACCAGTGTCATGCACACACTCCAATATGTGGCTTAGACTCAAGAAACCCTCTTGATTCCTCGCCTTGTACCTCCTTGGTTTAAGGATATCAGATAAAATACCACAGATTCACCATAATTTTCAGTTAAATCAATCAGCAATTTAAGTGAATTTGAGGGTCCTTCTTCTGCCCATGCTCACTTCTGGTTTCACAGTCTGTTGGCAGCTGCTGGGGTATGGTTCCTTAGGGAATAGCAGAGGGGAGACAGTGACCCAGACAGCAGGACAACTCCTCAATGCTTTCAAATATTGCCTTTGAAATATGGCAAAACAGCAGATCTTTTCCTTTGAGACAATTCTGTATTGGGGTATCCTGTCAGGTTTGCTTCTATCAGATGCCTCATGTCAAACTGTATCTGGTGAGCATTTTAACTTCAATCTCCTCTTTGCTATCATCTGTTTGAACCCTGTAGGTCACCTATGCCAAAACAAATCATTCAAATTCTCCTCTGGATGGATCTTTTATTCCTTCAGGCAGACTGAATGGAGACTCATTCAAATCTGAAACATGGTTAAAACTATGAAAACAACCAGAAAAAAAAGCCTTCTTGGATCTCCTCCTGCAAGCACATTTTGGCCTGATTTCTGCTGCTTTTTTATGTTTTTTTTCTGTTTTAGATTTTATATTCAACTGATTAGCACCTTTATTTGCTTTTAATATTGTATTTGGTTCTGAAACACTACCATAACCCCTGAATTTTTCCTTTTCACAGATATATATCTCAATATATGGAGGAGAGCAGTTACTGGGATAAGGCAAATTTCTCCAGCAGCAGCACTGCCCATGGCTTATCTCCCACCATGATGATGATTGGCCATGGGAAAGGAGGTATGAAACAGCCACTGCTGTGTCCTAAACCATGCCATGGTGAGACCATTTCACCATGGAACACCACTGAAAAACCCTTTTCCTTCAAGTCTCTGCAATGAAGGCACCTGTGAATGCTGTCAGAGATTATGATATTCCAGAAAGGCTGCCAGGGGTTCCAGCACTTAATGGCACTTCTGACAGGGAATATGTGAGTAAGAGGAAATACACACACCAGTTACTGGCAGAAAGAAAATGCACAACGCTTGCATTCAGAAGAAAGCATTCATGGTTAATCTTCTGTAAAAGAGTAACAGCAACAAAAAAGTTTTCTGGACTTGAAGTAGATACTGAATAATAAGACTTTCTCATTTTGAGCATTAACAGCTGCTACAAAAACTAGTAATTCTCACTACTCAGTGGTGCCTTGTAACTAAATGTTCAAGTTGTGCACATGAATAGCTGGTCTGAGAGCTTAGAAATATTAATTGCAAATGAGACAGCAGGTTATGCATATGCATATGACCTTGTTTTCTTAAAAAAGTAATTTCTGCAAAATCAAGAGCAAACTCTCTTGCTCTTAAAGTAATTTTCAAGTTTTTGATTTTTAAATTTTTTAAAATACAATTTGTCAGGTGGGTTTCTGCCAGAGTTCCCCAGCTGGGATTTGTCAGGAAAGTTAAATGCTTTGAGGTATAGTTCCACAGCAGCCTAAACTAGCTAAGATCAGCACCTCTGTGTTGGTCCCAAAAGCAAAACTGTCAGAGAGGTAATTGCTTCAGTTTGGGAAGAGTACTGGTACTACTGGAAGGGAGAGGGTAGGATGTGGAACAGGAATGGAGGAGGTGAAACTGCAATGGCATTGATATCAAATGGCTTAATAAAAGGTGATGGAGCCACAGTTTTTGCAAAGATGGTGCCTGCATGAGTCCTGCTTCCTTGGAAACTCTGGGCAAGATGGAAGCACATTCACTCACACCATGAAAACCTTCTCTCCATACTTAACCCTTCCTTTCCTTTCCTGGCTCTGTATGTAACCTCGGGGGTTCAGAATCTGTAGAAAACACGTCATGTTTCTCTGGTTTACACTAAGGATGTGATACTCAGCTCATCTGAGGCATGTGAATCCCAGCAGGCCATCTAAATCCTGCCAATCCAGGTCTCCAGTGACTGATGCTCAGGTATTCCAGCCCCAGGAGATTGGATCTGAGCCCACACCTGAATCTGAGGTTATGTTCCTCCTTCAAGTTTTGACTCCAGGGAAGGAGTAAGATGTGAATTGTGGTTTAAAAGGCCATCAGGCACTGACTCAAAGTTGCTCCTATCATGACCTCTATCAATATCTTATATTCTCATGTGCACACAGACTTTGTGTGTGTGGTCAGAATCCCCCTCTGCTTCTGAAAACATTTCCACAGCCCACTGGCTATTCCCACAGATGGGAAGGGCAAAAAAGGATACAATTAATGGAAAAGCATTAGTAAAAACCTATCAGGAAAGCACTGGGAATATATGAAAGGTAATTGAGCTGCTGTTGTGCTTCATGGGACCTGTGCCGTGCCAGACACTCGTTGCTCTGTGCTTTGTTACGGCAGAAGTGCAGCTGCTCTGCTGCAGTCTGCATCAGCCATACCAGGAGACAGTCAGCTTCTCCCATGGGAACTGAAGGCAGGAGTCAGCCCTGGGGTGTGGGAGATTTGTCTCTTAAACCATTTTTACCCTAAAAATCAGTGCAGGTAAATCCAGGCACGGTGGCAGATGATGCTCGATTGTCACACAGTGACAGCAGTGCCAGGGAAAGGCTCTCTCTAGATCCTGACACCTGTGGGACACAGCAGGGTGAGCTGTCCCATCCTGGGCCCAGCAGGATGAGGGTGGCTGGTTAGGAAGTGAGTGAAGGCACGAGCAGCCAGCTGGCTCTGCTGATTGCTCAGCTCTGTGGTCTGAGGACAGCATTCGATGCTGCCGTGCACCTGAGGGCAGCAGTTCCGATCCACGCACAGGTAACTTGCTGATGAGGAGACTCTTTTCCTTCCAGCATTGTTTTGCTTTCCATAGCTGCAGGCTCCCTCAGGCTGGCAGCCAAGAGCTAACCAACATATTAATGTCTACCACAGATGAGAAAATGTTGACAATTATTGTCTGAATTTGAGTTTGTCCATATTGTTTGTTCAGGGCCTGGCATGTTGTGCAGCATCACTCTTTTGCCCTGTGGAAGATTATGGCTGTCCCAGGTAGAAGGAAAGCTTTCAGGTGGTGAGAGGTAGGAAGGAGCTATAATAGATCAGGGTAGAACAGATACTCTTGCCATGGATGTTCTTCGTTCTTCAAACAAAGAAGGAAAATAACGTAAAATTGACTTTTCCTTACTTTCCCCTTTGTTTTTACTTGGTGTCATGGCTAAGGGCAAAAATATTTCCAATACAAAAATATATTGCAGCTCTCCAGGTGACGGTCCTGGACACAGCCTGGGAAGCAGTGGTACTGTCTGCTTCCCAGAGAAATTCTATAAGAAACCTTGCTTGCTTTTTCCTCTCCCTCATTCTCCCCTAAGGCTCTCTGGCTGGCTGCTTCCCTATCACAGTCCTGAAGGAAGTTACCTTCCCTTCCCTCAGTCCTCCAGGAAGTCAAGGTGAAAGCCTCTCACCAGTTCACAGGAAGGTAGTGCTCTATTTCTGGAAATGATGAAATATGGAAAGTCAGAGGTCCAAACACAGAACCTCTCCCCTGAGCATTTCCACCTAGATGGAAACCTGTGGTGATATTCAGGACTTTGCATTCCCAGACACTGGCAGCAGTTTCATACAGTAGCTAAAGCAGGAAAGCCCTTAGCAATGGCACTGTCCTCTGGGCTCTAGGAGCAGTCCTCACTGGAATGGATGCCCAAGAGCTCCTCAGCCAAGCTGATGAGACCATTTTCCTCCAGGGCTGCGATCAGCCGTGCTATTGTGGCCCTCTTGCCCTCGGACTGGATGAACCTGAGGAGCATTTGGTAGGCTTGTTCATAGAGTCCCTCTCTGTCATACTCCAGTGCCAGGTTGTCAATGGCAGGGTCACGCAGGGCCCGGCAGGATTTCTGCAGAGAGCGACCCACTTGCTTCCACTTCTTGGACACGGACTTGGCAAACTTCTGGTGGTCGTCTGGAGTGATTGTTCTGTTGTCTGAAAGGGGCAGAGGCCAGGTAAGACATAGAAGTTTCATGGCTGATGTGATGCAGCTTGGGCCAGTTCAAGGTTTGGTCAATATTCTGTGGAGCAGGGAGTTTGAGCTCCCTGCCTTGCCCAGCTGCTCCCTCACAGGAATCCTCCCACAGCAACAATGCATCTGGGCTTGCCCCTACCCTGCAAGCTTGGCAAGGACTATTTTCTTTTTTTCTCCCTCAGAACTGTCCTGTGGTTTGCCAGAGCTTTTTTTTTTTTTTTTCAGGTAGATGCCCTCTTCATTTGTTTTAGCCTTTCAAAGGCAGCTTGGTAAGGCCTCTCTGACAAAGTCCCCTGTTCCCTACCCAAACATCCTCAAAACACTGAAATGCTGACAGGAACTCTCTCCTCAGCTGTTTAGCACTGGAGACTATACACAGCTTAAGCAAGCTCCAAACTCATCTAGCTTATGTCAAGCTGATATTGCTATGTGAGACTCTCTGAAAGCTCTCTATAGGGACAGACCCCAAAGCCAGCTGGTGAACTAAGGGCACCTGGACAAATCAGCCCTGTCTGAAAGCAGGGCTGAGGGTGTCCACAGCAACTTCCCCAGTCTGATCCAACCTACACTACTAACTTACCTCAACCAAGTGACATGGAAGAAGAGAAAAATACTCTATAGTCTTCCTTTCACTATTAATTTTAAAATGAGAGGAACCTGGAAGGGACACAGACTCTGAAACACCTGGTTCTATGCTGACCCAGAAAAGAAAATAGGTTGATGCCTGATCTGAAGCACCATGGCAATATCTTAGGACTACTCCATTTCCTTTCTTATGGGATGCTGGGAAATCCTCAGTTTATCTGAGGTAGACCCCAATATGTAGTCATGATAATTCTCCCTCCTGGGCTGTGAGGCAGACAAGGGCTCTGTTGGTCAGCTCTAGCTACTCACCAAACTGCTGTCCCTGAAAGATGAAGGTGAGTTGTGTGGGAAGGGAGCTGCTTTGAGGAGGATAAGGCTGACATGGGGACTTCAGAGATGAGCAGTCTTTTCCAGCCACATTGTTGTTGGTGCTCTGGTGAAGCATCAAGCTCTTGAGGCATTCCTCCAGCTCTGTGATCTCCTCATCTGGCAGACGGTCAGGCTGTAACACAAACAGCATCAGTGACTCCTGCCAGGGCCACCACCCTGCAAAGCCGTGGTTGCTGGTGTCAAGAGAGGAGCAATGAGATATAGCATGAGCTGTCAAACAGTAAAATGAGGTGGTCTAATGGAGCTCTGGCTGTAAATGTGTGGATTTGAATTTGTAATGTGATATGAAATAGACAATCTCTCCCTGCTGGGTTTCTCACCTGCAGCAGTGAGTGCTTACAAGTTGCACGAAACTGCTCCTAGTCCATGTTCACTTCCAGCAGCCCTCCACAAGAATTAGGGTGCACTGTGGGCAGCAAGGCTTCTCCCAACTCCATATGAGGGTCAGACCCACAGAACAGGGTGACCTGATGCAACAGCTCGTGTGGCCACCCAAGCAGGCAGCTCCTGTTACCCACCTTCTCTCTCTCTCTCTGCCCCTCTGCTGCCTAAGGCTTGCTCCTGGTTCCTCACCAAGCCAGTTTCTTCACTAGCCAAGAGAAAATTAGTCTGACCTCCAAAAAGCAGGTAATGAGAAAAGAAGTAAGGAAGGCAAAGCACATGGAAAGAGTCAAACCTGGCAGTGCTGTGCCTCAATCAGAGGCAAACACTGGTTTAGCTCACTTAGAGCAGCTATCCAGCACTGCTCTCTGCTGCTGAAGGCTGTGCCCTCAGTGCCATCTTTCTGCCTGTTGCACTGTTAGGCAGGGGTCAGACTGAGTCACTTTTGGGGCACTGACAATAAGCCCATTTCTTTTGTCCAATCAGCTAGTTCAGCACAGGGAGGGAGCAGAAAGCCACAGTTCACAGGGTATGGGTATCACACGTTTGGTTTGAGGATGAAAGGTTTGAGTTTCATTCTCTGTGCTTACAGAAAGCAATCTGGCAAAACATGCTCTTGTGCCTAATATTCCTGAGTAGATACTGAGTACCTGTTTCTCAGGACCATTTAGAGGAACCTGAACTAAAGTACCATATGAAAAAAAAAGAGGAGGGGAACAAGTCAGTGAGTTTAATCATGTCAAGTGCCTTAGAGTGAGATGACAAGATCTCACTGTTCTTGCAAGCAGGATTAGAGTGTCAGTGCCAAAGTGTGCAATGAGCCAGATGTCAGGTGAGACTTTGCCTTCAGAAGGACAGCCTACTTCTGATGGCAGCAGATGCTGTGTGTCCTCACTCTGACACAAGTTTTTGGTGTGATGTGCAGTGTCTGCACTCACTTGCATTGCTCATTTCCAGGTGCAGTTACCTTTACCACTCTGGGAGGAGGTGGTGTGTGAGGCAGGGGAGGGAATTGCAGAGCAATGATGGTTCCACTCAGGTCTGCTCCTCTCTGCCTGCCTCACAGATGTACTGAGGCACACTTGCACTGTCTGGAGCTCCTTGTCTTAGTGAGGATAACAGCCATGCTAGCTTTATTACACAGAAGCTACAGTGAGTTAGCAGGATCTTTGCAGGCTGCTTTAGGTAACTCTATTGCCGTTCCAGAAAGGTGCACAGCTCTTTTCTGAGGAAGGGCAGAGCTATTTTTCCACATTAGAGTTATGAGATGAAGGAGAGAGGAGTTTGTTAACACAACATGCTGCATCAGAACAAGATTTACACCCACCTTTGCAAGCCCTGTGCCACCCCTCCTCATTGCTGTCCAGCCTCCCCCCGTCTCCCGCTCACCTTTTCTCTGTAGATGCACTCCAGGCAACGATCCTCATCCTTCAGCATCTTGTCAAGGTGCTCACTGCCAGCCTTCAGCTCCACTTTGAGAGGCACCGTGGTTGTGGCCAGGGAGAGCTGGAGGTGACTCTGGAGGGAGTTCTGGAGCGCTCCTTCCCGGTAACTCCGCAGGAAGCGGCGGCAGTTCTCCCGCTTGCAGAACTTGAGCTGGACTATGAGGTGTGGGTGGCTGCAGTGCACCTTGAGCATGTCCACACCATTCACACTGCCAGTGGAGTCTGGCAGGGAGAAGGGAGCACAGTCACAACCCAGGCGTGAGCCAGCCCACCCACACCCACACCCATCCACAACAAGCCTGCAGTGGAGGAGCTTTTGAATTTTCTTTGTGATAAAGTCCTCTGGGATGAAAAAGTGTGTTAAATCAAGAGGGAAGGATTAAGTTCATGCTGCCCTGCCACCATTGATCTCCATGAAGTATTATGTCCAACTGAAGATGTATGGAACTACATCGCAGGTAATTATATCAACACTGCTTATTAGGGCAAGTTTTAAATTTGAGGTTCCATTTCTAGGGCAGAGATGGTTATGATAAACTGGTAGCACAGCGAAGTTTTATAGATGAGAGCTCAGTTCAGCTCAGTGCTCAGTCAGCCTTTAGTCCTTGTGTCTGGAGTTTCATGCAAAGATGAAGGTCCTGGATAGAAACCCAGTGTTCCCTCTCCAGCCTGTGCCTAGAGGGAACGTTCGTCTCTCTGAGCCTTTAAAACATCTCACAAACGACAAATGAAAGATCCAGCCACAGGGATTAAGCTGCTTGAGATTGGGCCTTGACTTGCTATTTTGCACAGAGAATTAATTCATGGTAAAATCTCAACAAGGAGAAGCCAGGGATGTACCCTCTAACATTAGTGTAGGAGGAGCATGAGTGATGTAGAAACAGAAAATGTCAGGACTCCATTCTTCCTTCTCCCAGCAGAATTTAATTTTAATACCTGTGCTCATTATCCTTGTCTCCACAAGATTTTATATACTGATGATGAGTTCTAAGTATGCGTTTTTCTCTTTTTTTTTTGCTGCAGAGGCTTATGTGAGGCTGCTGAAGTGTTTCCAGACCTGACTGAACCTCGTGGGCTGTCAGTGCATAGGGCTGTATGGAGGCACCAGCTCACACTGGCACTACATCAGGTATTTTCAATCCACATGTCATGGCATGAAGGACAATCTTAAGGCAAGACAGACTTGTGTGCTCCACATTAAGCAGGACAAGTGACCTTGCATTTAAAAGCATCGTATCTAACAGTGGCTTTACATGTTTACTAAGTCCTGTTCGCATCTGGTCTAGTTTGGACCAGATGTGTAACTGACACAAAGGTTTAGGCACCTAGAAAAGACATTTTAATTCACTGTGGATGATTTTTTATCACTTCCCTCATGCTTTGCTTTTTACGAGTGCTTATTAAACAAAATTTCCATAATAAGAGGGCAAGAGGGCTGGGGAGGGAAAGCTGCACAGACATGGAAAACTTTATGAAGAGTGCACAAGACAGCTGTAAAGCTGCCTCAAAAGACAGGACCTTGCAGGCATTTCTGCATGAAACCTCAGACAGCTTAAGATTTCATGTCCTTTTCAGGTTTGAATAAGCATGGTAGGATTTCAGTTTTGTGAGCTGTCCTTTAAATGTGTGTGCAGATTCACATTCCAGTGCCACAAAGCAGCCATAAATCAAGCCTAATTGGACAACTGTGTACGGCTGTCTGCTTCCTCTTTCCCATATATGGAATGAGCTGCAAGATGGGCAGGCCTGTATTGGATAAAGTGATTTGGCATGATTTCCAGAATAAACTGCAGAGTAGTTAGACAAGCCCAGTTTAACAACAGAGATTCAGCTGTGTGACAGGTAAAGAACACCATGACAGTCTTTCTAGGTAAGTGTGATAAACTCTTCAAACGACTACTACTCTGCAGTGTGCTTGGTACAATGGTGGATAGAGGTATACACAGTTTTATGGCTATTTGCATCTCAAGTAATTTTTTGATGTAAATAGATTTACATACACCTCAAGCTAATGTTTGTCTGTTTATATCAGAATTTGAATTATATCAGACTTTGGATAGAAACTAATTTATACTGGCTATCACTTGATTTAAAAACCAGCTTCTCAAAGCAGAGATCATGTTTCTGTGGTAGTATAAAGACAGCAATTAAATCTTCTTTCATAGTAATTGCAATCTTTTCCCCTCTTACATAAATGGGTTTAAACAAACATTCATAAAGTTGGATAATTTGTAGGATGGTTCAAGTTGGAAGGAAGCCCAGGCAGTGTCTAGCCCAACCTCCTGTGCAAAGCAGGGTCAGCTCTGAGGTCAGATCCAGTTGCTCAGGGCTTTATCCAGTCCCATTTTGAAAGCCCTCAAGGATGGAGAATACACAGTCACTCTGGGCAACTGCCTGACTGTCTTAATGGGGAAATTTGTCCTTCTATCTGGTGTCTACCACTCATTTCAATTTGTGCCTGTTGCCTCTCATTCTACTATATGCACCACTATGAACAGTGTGGCTCCACCTCTCCCTCCCATAGGTATCAGCAGGTTTTTGGTAGGTCCCCTGAAACCTTCTCTTCCCTACGCTCAACAGGTCCAACTCCCTCAGCCTCTCCTCACAGGACAAGTACTTCAGCCCCCAGCCATCCTGGTGAACCTCTGTGGAGCTTGCTCCACTTTATGGCCCTTCCTAAACATGAGCATGAGCCTTCCTTACCCGTGAGAGTGAGAGTAAAGAAAGGCATGGCACTGCACATCAAGATGCCAGAGGATGGATACCTGCTAATGCCAGCTTCAGGGCCTTGAACACACAAGGCTTCTTCTGGGAGCTCTCGTAGAGGGACGGCAGAGCGATGGTCTTGCAGGTCGATTGAAGGAAGAGATAAGCACTGCCAATCCAAGGAGTGGAGCTGCCTGCCATCTTCAGCACCCTACAAGATCACACAGACAAGCTCAGACCATAAGGCAAATGGCCTGATGCCAGGGGAGTGCTACAGCACAAGCACCACAGACTTACAGGGATTTACTCTTATTTCTTAGAGGAGTGCTGATGTTGCTAAAGCAATTATAACCTTTGAGGTGCTTACTGTTACTCTGTAAAGCACACCACACTGGGACATGGTATCCCAAAGACAGCAGCTTACAAAGCTTTGCTTTCATTTTCCATTAGAGTCCATTCATTTTATAGTCCAAAGATACTCTGGAGTTTCAGCCCCTGTGCCTCTGACTGACTAGCCAAGCTGGCAAAATGTGAAATGATTGAAGTGCTCCAGAGACCACCCATTAGTCCCGGCCCTGGCACGTTCCCATGGACTGAAGCCCTATTGCAACCTGAGATATTATCCTTAAGGTCCTGGTCCCTTGGTTGTTCACAGGGCCCAGAACTCTTGTAACAGAACATTCTAGGCAGGACAAGGGTAATCGTTTAAAACTAAAAGAGGGTAGATTTAGATTAGATATCAGGAAGAAATTTTTTACAGTGAGGCACAGAGAGGTGGTGGATGCCTCATCTCTGAAAATATTCAAGGCCAGGTCAGACTGGGCTCTGAGAGAGCTGACCTAGGTGAAGATGTCCCTGGTCACCACAGAGGAATTGAACTAGATGGCCTTGGAAAGGTCCATTCCAACCCAAACCATTGGGTGTTTCTGTGGCTCAGGGGTACCCCTCTGCTTTATGCCCTTGTGCCTCTGCAGCGTTCACCCAGCGGGTGAATCTTCCCGTCCAGCGAGCACTGCCCCAGCACAGTCCCCGCTCCGCGGTCAAACCGCTGTGGGCTGCTTTAAAAAACCCAGCCCCGGCCCGTAAATCACATTTGTGATCACGGTTATTGCCTTTTCGCTGACTTCTGCAGCGTCAGGCCTCTGCTGCTCAATTCCCGTCACAGCCTCGCTGGGACGGGGCTGTCCTTAAGGGAAAAGCGCTGGAGCAGCCGCCAGCCCCGTCCCGCCGGGCAGTGCCGCCCGTGGGGCCCGGGTGTCCCCTCGGAGCAGGGTGTCCCCTCGGAGCCCGGCTGTCCCCTCAGAGCCCGGCTGTCCCCCCAGTCCGGCACCGCGGAGCGCGGCCCCTCCAGCCCGGCCCTG